GGCTTTGCCTCCCAGTTAAGATATTCTGGTATCCCGTGTTTTTGCCCAAAGGTCTCTCCAAACGCCGTCGTGTTTTCCTCCTGCCCGGGCACAGCACTGCTGCCTCCGTGGCTTTGCTGGCCCCAGCGGCTGCCGAATTCTTCGCTGCTGAGGCGCTGGCGCTGTGTTTGCAGGAGCAAACCGCGCAGAGGAGAGCGGCCTTCCTGGGAACTGCAACGCAAACGCCCGCGCCGCCAGGATGGCCTTGCGCTAGGCCCGAAGCAACCAGCACTCTCCAACCATTCCTGGGCAAAGCGAGGAGCTGGCACACGGGCTGGGATCAGCTCCACCTTTGCCTGTGGCCATCCCAGAAGGATAAGGCTGCAAGCTGTTCTGGCCTTCTTGGCCTCAGAGCCAAGATCAGCGTGGGCACGTTTAACTCCCTAGTCCCAGTACAGCCTGAGCGCACCCCATACTTCAAGGAGAGCAGGGCAGCATGCGAACGGAGACGATTTCTTGAACTGGGTCCCAGTTTTCCCTCGTAATTTCTAATGATGAATGGTCACAAAGGTTCAAAGAGTCGGGAAGTATCAAATAACATTGTGAGTGCTGGACATTCAATATGCTAAAAAAGAATAATATTTTAGCTTTCAAACAAACCCAGGTGCCTCCAGCTGGGAGGTATGACCCACCCTTCCCCCCTCACAGCACTTTGAGACTTCAGCACAACAGGCTCCAGGATTTCTTGGAATCAATATTTTTTAATGTCAATGATGGTCACTAAACTGGCAATCCATCTGTGAGTTCATATAATATAGCGAGATATTAATCTTTAGAACTGCATTGCACTCAAGATAACTTCAGTTGGATAAAGTCCACAAATGCCTATCTACTCTGTTTCTCTTGAAGACTGTGACTCCACATGCAACTTTCTCAGCACCCATCAAAACTGCCAGTATAGACCCAAGGGGAAAACTACCTTCCAAGTGCTCTCTAGAAATGAACTCCAGTACAAATCAGTGTTAATTCACAAAATCAAAATCAGTGTTAATTTACAAAACTAACAGGCTTAAAGTTTAGACTGTGGGAGAGGAGACTAGGAATCACAGTTCTTTTTCAGGCAAGATACACGAGTTTTCTTCCAGTCCCACTGTTTTCCAATCCCCTTATATAGCACAGGCAGGACTGAAGATGTATCATCATTACTGGGCAGGAAGATACAGAAATAGTTGCATATAAATATCTGAAAATTGATCTTATTGCGGGATGTTGCAGATAGTGAGATGACACTGGATAAAATCCTGAAGAGTTATATTTGCTCTTCAGCGATCACCCATGATTCTGTTAACATAAATATGCTACTCAGCCTCCCACAGTAAGCAGCTGTGGTAAACGGCTTCTGTGGGCTTAAAAGCCAACAGCAATAAAGTATTATTTTGGTTTCCATTTAAAAAAAAACAACAGAGGCGTATTTGAGATGTGCACACGCATGTTTGGTTCCAGTTCAGATTCAACGGAATGTTATTCATGTGCATCCAAAATTTTTTTCTGACTGAAATTTGTGTCACTGAAAATTAGCTATATACACTGCTGCCTTCCTATCATGATTCCTACTGTCTGTAAGTTACATAGACTTTCCATGTAACCCTGTGGCAACACAAAGTTTTGAAGTCACAGTGATTTCAGTTCTCCTTGATGACTTCCATTTATCATTAAGTTAGTAGCACAGGACCAGACACTAAATTCATCTCTCTACAGGCTCAGACAATACACAGCAGATATTTCAAAGAGCTACAAATTGTCCATTCTATATGACATCACCCGCAGGGCCAAACAAACTAAAATCTGTGGCATTTTTTTTCTTGAAGAATTAAAATCTGTAACTGTAGCCTGCCACATGAAGCAAAGAAGAGAGGTCCCAATCATTATCAGGTCCCAACTCTGTGCAGTAATTGAGACTGTATTACATATTTATGGTCAGAAGGAGAAGACATTCTCCTAAATTTTTCTTAAATACAAGTTGATTTTCTCAACAGAGAAAAATCCTGAGGACATGGAGTCACCACAGTTCTTTAAAGACAATCATGAAAATAACACCAAGTCCATCCATTAACCTTAAAATCCAGTATGAGAGTTTAAGATGCATCTGCACATGTAAATATGTCTACCTCCCAGTGATGTAAAATGGCATGGGCTGGCAGCAGGAACTCTGACCAGAGAACTCAGCCCAGCTGCTAGTTCCCTATGGAGCGGATAAGTCATCACAAGATCCCAAGAACTGAGCCTGCCAAAATAAGCCTGTCTATCTACTGAATTATGGCTGAGGCTCAGTTACACAATGAAACAGAGAAGAGCAGACCTAGAGTTCAGGCCACAGATATATTAGCCCCATGTTTCACTTCACGCTACATTTATTCAATGAACCAGTCCTTTCCCCCGTTACTCACCTAACTGCATTATGGAGGCAGATTTGGATGCGGATCTGATTTAGTGATTTTGTGATATGACTAGAAATGTTTGGCACGCTATGAATAACCAGTGTTTCAGTAACTTGTTGAGCTTGATTACTTTGGATGGTTTGACAGGAAAAATAATGTTTTCCTTAGGGTCAAAACAAACGTTAGTAAAAACAACAGCAACCAAGGACTACAGTAAAGATGCTGTTTCTGTATTGCTATTGATCTCGCTCACAGAAGGACTTCTGCTATACTGAAATTTAATACTTATCCCCTGGTACCTCTATGCACTTTGCTCTTTGCATCCAATGAACCCTTTGATCTCACTCTAAAGAGCCCACAGGTCCAAGCTGCTTCTCAGTCGCTCACAGAAAACTGTAGTCTTCAGCGGAAGACTTCTCTTCCCTCCTCCATCAGCTGAGCCAAAATAATCACACCACAAGCATACTAACATGGTGCACAGCCACCTGAAATACATGGGCTCACTTCATTTCCAGGCTACACTTGTCATTCGCAGTACTTAACTGTGGGCATACTGTAAAATGCTAAGGTAATAAAAGGGATTTTAAACAACATGATTGAAAAGAAGTTAAAACAGAAATTTAAGAAGAACTTGGGAAATCCTGAAACAGGAAAAAGCTGAATGTGTAATTTCAGCCTCATGGCTTTTCTTCAGTTCCTGATCCTGCCTCTATTTTGAAAGTAGATCCCCCTCTCCAATTTCTTCATGCTCTTTAAATCAAGGGCCCCAATGGAGTAATGTAATCCATATGCTCATTACTCCTTACGTGCCATTCATAAGATCAGCTAAGCTGAATTATGACCCCATCACATATCCAACCCTATTTCTGATTACCTACATCACAGAAGGGAGTATCTGAAAGCCAAACAAACAGAATGTAACAGAGGTAAAGTTAAAATGGTTTTAAGAAATGCTTTTATATACATTTTTGTAAGAAGTCAGAACAATAATTTGGAAAATATTTAAGTATCTTTAAAAATCATCAGAAGTAAATTTAAAAAATGTAAGTAATACATGTAAGCAAATCAATGGCTATATATTCAATACTGACTAGACAGTTTATATCGGAAAGAAGTGTATCAAAAATTTCACACAAGAATATTGCACTTATAATTTCAGACAGGTCCTGTACTCAGGACTCAGTGCAGGCTAAGCATTGGCTCAGTATTTGTTACATGGTAAGGAAACTGCTGTATGAATATACAAATTAAAATCTCACTGCCCTGGTGAAGAAATGAAAATCTATCACATGACAAGAAAATAAACAATTAGCAAAATCTTGCTTGAAAACAATGCTCTTATTCCTAAGAATGGGGACTGGCTGTTATTTATTGTTTCTCTGGGTAACGGCTTGCAGCACAGGGAGTCAGGGTGGCTGGGACAGCTGGCACAAATTACAGCAGAGGCAGAATGGCCGGTGCAGGTTTGGTCAGGAGCTGCTGGCAGGCAGACAGGATGGGAGG